CTCCCTTTTGGTTTTCTAATTCTAGCTCATTGCACATTTCATTATGATATTTGGTTTGGCTTCCCCAGCTGCCCTTTGAAAAGTTCTATTCAGTTCTTTGGCTTCGTTTTCTGTCCATTTGCTTTAGCTACTGTACTATTAAGAATAAGTGCCAGAGTCTCTTCTGACATTCATTTTGATCCACTTTGATAGGCTATAGATCTTAGGCATTCCAACTCATTTTTGATCACTTTGAATTTTCCCAGAGGCGTACGTGGCACATTCCAAGTTCCAATCATCAGCAGAATTTTTGAGGCTCTTTCTCCTGACTGTGAGTTGTGCCCATCACCACATGAAGATCCCAGAAGCACCACGTCCCCAGGGTTTACTGGACTCAGGTCACCAGGGTTCACTTCCGTCGGAGAAGTCAGCTTCTCCTCAGGCATATTTCAAAGGGCCTAGTCTCTGCACTATGTCTGAAAATGATCTGCTTCCATGTGTTAGGTCTTCAGAGTAATGTCAAATTACTTTTATATGCCCTGAGAAACCAAAACATTCATGTTATTTGATTTATGGTCATAGTCACTTAGTTGTAGGAGCGTGGAACCAAACCCACAATATCTTCAAGGTCAGTCTGTATGTTTTTCTTTCTATAGGTGTGATAATTAGAGTCAACTAGACACTCCTGGAGGAAGGTAGGGATGGAGCCCAACCTATCAATCAGGTTTCAACCCAATGACACATCCTGGGGGTTGGTTGTATAAGAGAAGGATCCTAAGCAGGGCCAAGCTCTCTTTTGCCTCTTCCCCTCTGCTGGAGCTGGATCCTATGTGTGGTTTGTCGATCTCCTGTTGCATCCACCAGTCTGTGGTTCTCTTGCATTGCCATCCTGCTTCTTGTTCATCTTTTCCATGGCTGCATGAGTCAGAGAAGCCTTCAGCTCACATCTGAGCAATGGACTTGAACTTAAATGTTTCTACACCTGTGTAAGTCATTTCCTGATAAAAACCTCTTTTTCTATCACGCTTCACTGGTTTTGCTTCTCTAGAGAACCCTGCCTAACACAACAGGTTTTGGAAGCTGAAAAGGTTTTCCCCCAGAGCACAGAGAAAGCCTTTCCCTATTGCTGGTGCTCTGAATTCAGACATCTAGCCTCCTGAAGTGAGGGAAAATGCGTTTCTGCTTGTTAAAGTCATCTTCCTGTGTTAGTTGTTACCCCAGAGAGCTTTTGTGAATTGTACCCTGCACAACTTGAAGTGACTGTACTAGAATTGAGTAGTTCTTGTTATTTGGTATCATCCACTGGGTTCCAACCCATAGTTACCCTGCGCACCATAGAATGAAACATTGCCGGGTCCTATGCATCCTTACCATTGTTTCTATGCCTCAGCCCATTGTTACAGCCACTATGTCAATACTCTGCACTCCCCCCATCATTCACTATGATAAGATTTTTTGTTCTGATAATGCCTTACACCTGATCCCTTCAACACCTCGTGGTTGCATAGGCTGGTGTGCTTCTTCCATGTGGGCTTTGTTGCTTCTGAGCTTGATGGCCGCTTGATTACC